AGCAAGGATGAATAAGAGTGAATGAGATTTTTTATCACGTGCAAACATCAGTGTAGCGGTAACATATGAATAGGGGTCCATTAGGGTGGCCCAATTATACACAGCAAAATTTATTTTGCGAATTTTTTTGGTCTTACCCCCTGGAACTGTTCCATTTGATCAAAAAACACTCTCTGTCAAGTTTCAGCCAAATCGGATAATATTAACCCGTGCCGACAGAACCATCTTTTTTATATGGGATTTTACATTGGAAAACACTTTTTTCCAGAAAAATCCATTTTTCGAAAAATGTGTAATTTCTAGAAAAAATCTGAGGTCATATTTGGCTTCAGCAGGAAAAATTGAGTGGGAAAACATGTATTGGACATTTAAAACAAAATTTTTTACCCCTCGTTATAGCGGCGAAACAACTGAAACATCTAGAAAACGCTAAAAAAGGGTAAAATGACGGTGATAGATCCCAAATAATTACGTACGTCTGCATCCGAAAACGAAGCTCAACATATGGTAGGTAGTTCATACGTACTTTTTTACGCTGAGTCCGAAAATTCTATCTATTTTCCTCTATTCCATCAGGATTTTCCGGAAAATCGATTTTCTCGTAGAAACAGGGTTTTCCGGGGAAAACTCAATTTCAGGAAATAAACCTCAACATGTGACGGATTTTTTTAATGTGTTATTCAACGCTGAGTCCGAAAATGATATTAAAGTTGCTCCATTACATCGGGATTTTCTGGAAAATCGATTTTCTCGTAGAAACAGGGGTTTCCAGGGAAAACTTAATTTTTGGGAAATGGACGATCGACTTGTAATAGATGTTCTTGATGTGTTTTTTAACGGTGAATTCGAAAATCATAACCGTTTCCCTCTATTCCACCAGGAGTTTCTGAAAAACTAAATTTTTTTTCGGAAAAAGGTAATTTTCCGAGGAAAACTCGGTACCCTGGAAAACTTGTGAATTTCGAGGATAAAACAAGGTCAATTCTTAACTCAGCGACAAAAAAACATTAGAACACTAATTGTATACTCCTGAATAGAACCTTTAGTGTTGTATGTATATTTATGGAGAGTGGAGAAAAAGTGAGCAATTACCTTTTCGACGGGAAAAATTTAGTTTTACAGAAACTCCTAGTGGAATAGAGGGAAACGGTTATGATTTTCGAATTCACCGTTAAAAAACACATCAAGAACATCTATTACAAGTCGATCGTCCATTTCCAAATTGAGTTTTCCCCGGAAAACCCTGTTTCTACGAGAAAATCGATTTTCCGGAAAATCCAGATGGAATAGAGGAAAATGGATAGAATTTTCGGACTCGGCGTAAAAAAGTACGTATGAACTACCTACCATATGTTGAGCTTCGTTTTCGGATGCAGACGTACGTAATTATTTGGGATTTATCACCGTCATTTTACCCTTTTTAAGCGTTTTCTAGATGTTTTACTTAGTTGTTTCGCCGCTATAACGAGGGGTAAAAAATTTTGTTTTAAGTGTCCAATACATGTTTTCCCACTCAATTTTTCCTGCTGAAGCCAAATATGACCTCAGATTTTTTCTAGAAATTACACATTTTTCGAGAAATGGGTTTTTCTGGAAAAAAGTGTTTTCTAATGTAAAATCCCGTATAAAAAAGATGGCTTTGTCGGCTCGGGTTAATATTATCCGATTTGGCTGAAACTTGGCAGAGAGTGTTTTTTGATCAAATGGAACAGTTCCAGGGGGCAAGACCAAAAAAAATCCGACATTGCCAAAGTTGGGCCACCCATGGGCAATGAATTAATACCATTTAATTAGCTATCAAAATGATGCATGTAGTCCATTTTATACTTAAAACAAGATGAAATGCGCCATGAATTAAATGAAAATAGTTATTTTTTTAATTGCTTTTTTTTTTGACAGCAAGTATTCATTAATTTTGTGGTGGTCCTATTGTGGTAAAGAGGGTTATTCAAAATCGGCGATTTTACCCTACGCTTGGATTTTGCCCGGAGTTGGATATGTTGTTCCCTATCACAAGACACGCCTTTTTCCGGCATTGGCAAGTTCACCCGAAATTTTTCCCGCGCGCTACAGCGTTGCCAAGTTGAAAACAGGCAAATTCCGTAAGTGGCATCAAAATTGAGCTATGAAGTTGCGGTTTTAACGAAAATTCTCTAAAAATTACGCACTTTTAGGAAATGACCATGTTTTTAATGTCGCATTCATTTTAACATGCATTATTGCCAAATTTCCGATTTTTAAATTCGACACATGTTACATATCCGCAAATATCCAAAAAGGCTATCTTCAAATTTGAATAAAAAGTTGTCTAATCGATAGTTCGTTCGATTTCGCATCCATCGATATATTATAGCTCGCTGGGAAACTTTTGGTTCGCGAGATATCATCATTTTTGTGAACAGCTTTATGGAGCGACGACGCTTTTTGAGTCCGGGCGGATAGAAATTTTAGCCTCCTAAAACACCGGGTAGCATTAATTCCATGGTTTCCTATGTAATTTTTGGCGCTAAATCCGAATTTGACCATTTCATACAAAAATTGTCACCAAGATGTTGCCAAATTTGGCAAAAATTGCTTAAAATCGGCCTTTTTGGCGGATTATAGCCTGCGACTTGCCAGGAGTTGATCAGACGACAAAATTGGTTATTTCCGCAGTTAAAACTCGTTAAACTATCTACAAGCTGAGTCAAATTCTTTCTGCTCACGGTAAAATTAAACGCGCGACAAGCAGCAAACTGAAAAAAAGACACCAAAATTGGCGCTTTTTGCGGTTTTTGTCGTAAGTTTCTTGTTCTCCGATTAAGAGAATGTTTCTTGACTAAACTAATGAACAACATGAGCAGAATTTAATAAAATTGAACAATAAAATAAGATCGAACTTATTCCAATGTTGCCAAGCTTAAACAAAATACCTTAATTTTCGCTGGTTTTTTCGATATTATTGTCCTATATTCTTTGTTCACCTCTTATTTTTAAATTTTATAAATGTATCTCTCTTGCAAAGTAATACACTTCTGTAGAATAATTTAATTTTCAACTTAGATATATACTAATAACTAGGGTATTTAGTTCAGAGAGGAAAAATTCATAAAATAGTGAGTTTTATCAAATCGTGTCAATAAACCAAATTTTGAAACAATAATGGAAAATTTTCTGCTAAAAATTAAAGAATAAAATGTACTCCTCAGACTGACTTCATTAAAACAAGACACGACGCATTGCAATATTGCCAAAATTACGTACAAATCGTTGAATTTTGGCGGTATTTGACCGTTATTATTCATTACCCTATATTTAGTATACAATTTTATTTTATAATTCTGAGATAATGGAGTTTAATAGAAAAAAGTAACGACACCAAACTGAAGAAGACGCCCAGGAAAGGACAATAAGGGGCTTAAAAAGGAACAAGGGCGCTCCAAATTACCGAGGACCTGTGGGTGGACAAGGGACTATGGCGGTTAGGCGTCGCGGGACCCGAGAGACCGCTGTTAAAGCGGCTCTTTATCTATATATGTAACAATACAATAGTTTGTCGTTACACTCGGCGTAATTCAGATTTTCCTAAGAAACATTCTCTTAATCGGAGAACAAGAAACTTACGACAAAAACCGCAAAAAGCGCCAATTTTGGTGTCTTTTTTTCAGTTTGCTGCTTGTCGCGCGTTTAATTTTACCGTGAGCAGAAAGAATTTGACTCAGCTTGTAGATAGTTTAACGAGTTTTAACTGCGGAAATAACCAATTTTGTCGTCTGATCAACTCCTGGCAAGTTGCAGGCTATAATCCGCCAAAAAGGCCGATTTTAAGCAATTTTTGCCAAATTTGGCAACATCTTGGTGACAATTTTTGTATGAAATGGTCAAATTCGGATTTAGCGCCAAAAATTACATAGGAAACCATGGAATTAATGCTACCCGGTGTTTTAGGAGGCTAAAATTTCTATCCGCCCGGACTCAAAAAGCGTCGTCGCTCCATAAAGCTGTTCACAAAAATGATGATATCTCGCGAACCAAAAGTTTCCCAGCGAGCTATAATATATCGATGGATGCGAAATCGAACGAACTATCGATTAGACAACTTTTTATTCAAATTTGAAGATAGCCTTTTTGGATATTTGCGGATATGTAACATGTGTCGAATTTAAAAATCGGAAATTTGGCAATAATGCATGTTAAAATGAATGCGACATTAAAAACATGGTCATTTCCTAAAAGTGCGTAATTTTTAGAGAATTTTCGTTAAAACCGCAACTTCATAGCTCAATTTTGATGCCACTTACGGAATTTGCCTGTTTTCAACTTGGCAACGCTGTAGCGCGCGGGAAAAATTTCGGGTGAACTTGCCAATGCCGGAAAAAGGCGTGTCTTGTGATAGGGAACAACATATCCAACTCCGGGCAAAATCCAAGCGTAGGGTAAAATCGCCGATTTTGAATAACCCTCTTTGATGGCTGTTTACTGTTTTGATCACTGAGTTGCAGTTTCCTAATTATCAAAAATGCATGTGTAAACAGGGCAAGCACTTTAACCTAAAAGTTTGGGAAGAAGAAGAAACTTCAGTATTTTTTTGCCTCCACTTTTTCTGTATTAAATGAGACACCCTAGACATTTCTAAAGATTTCTTCTCAAAATTTGTTCACCTAACTGTTTTGATATGATCTTGAGCAGCATTTTTTATGAGCTAAGGATTGTCAAAATCTTCTTCTCTTGATCCAAGTGCTGAAGCAGACAGTGTTGTTCCTTTCAGAGGTCAGTGCCTATTTTACCAATATTACTAAAAGGTTTGAAAATCTGACAATCCAGACTACAGGAGATGGATGAATCTGGCGGAATGGATGAACTTGGCGGATTTTGTTCGTCTCCGTAGCAAAACTGCGCTCTTGGCCAAGCTACTATTTGTTGCTAATCGAATGGGGTTTTTTTTTTCCTACATTCAGCACATTCTATAAGTCAATATGTACTTTTCTTACTATCTTTGTCATATAAAGTATTGATTTTACTTTTGGAAAGCTCCATAAAGGGCTCAACAACTTCTAGGTATTATCAAACTTGTTGCCACCACACATTGCTCTGACCCAGAAAATACATATTTGATCAGACAAGTTAGACAATGTCATATTAGGAGGATAATAATATGTATGATTCAATCTCTTACAACCCTCATTTTGTTTACTCCATTTGTTCACTCATACGGTGGTAGACTTTTGGGACATACATAGTAGAATAGAGAATTAATAGTAAGCAAGGGGATGATGGAACAAAGTGAGTGAACATCTTGCTAATGATCCAATGAACATTCTGAACTGCTGTGAGAAAGGGAAATGGAGTATGGTATAGTAGTAAATATTGATATTTAACAGAATTCTGAATTGATGATCGTCTTGAAATACTTAGACTCCAATTCTTCAAGAGAAGCTTACTTTGTAAACTGAGCTTAAACGCTTGCAAGAAATGAAGAATACCCCAAAAAAACTGACAATCGTGGGTAAAATAAATTGTGTCAGAGCCACCTGCATCTGTGAGAAACAAGGAAACACCAAAAATAAGGAGTTATGCTTGGGTATGGACCACTCAAAATTGAATTGAAACAGGGGAATCATGATTGCATTTGATTCGAATCAGAGAGAGAACACTGGTGAGACTTAGATGTAGCAATACAACCACCACAAAAAATTTCACTGTACACTTGAATGTTTCCAGACTAAAATACCCCAGGAAATAATGAATCAAAAGTTTTACTGTGGCACAGGCTCTAATACAGTTTAAAGGTAGTGATATTCACAACTTGTGAGATTTGAAGCAAGGCACAAATTAATGGTGACAATTGTAGGGGGGGGGGGCTTTAATTTGAATAGAAATTATTTTTCTATAAAGCTTCAAATTACCAATTTGGAGAACTAGGGACTCGCCCAAACAGACTTCATCACTTTTCTTAGTAGAACATTTTCTGTAAGTTAGGCAGGGGAAAACTTTAACTAGAATGTTCTATCTTTTATGGAATGGAATGAAATTTAATGAAGGAAGGCTTGTTTCCCACCGAGCAGAAAGTGAAAGAAGTTCAACGAGAGTATTTACAATACTTATTCACAATTCATAAATGACGGTTGCTGTTTAACTCTGATGAAATAATCATCTAACCAAAGAGTCAGTAGTTAACATTAAAAGTCAGATTGACGGAAGAAAATTTTTCACATAACATCTCTTAGATGAAACAACTTTCTTCTTAGAAAAAAGAGGTTAAATAAAGGAAAAAATAAAACTAAAACTAACTTTTTGGTTAAAAATAGTACGGATGGTGCTTTTCCTTCTCAAAGTAGCCAATAAAAATAAAGTAGAACTTAAGATGTGTATAAATCAAAATACAAAGTAATTTAAGAGATACAATAGCAAGAGGTGGATGAAAAAAGAGGAGAATAAAAGTTACATTACAACTGCATCATTTGATACAGAGATCAGATGATGAGATGCACAAGCTGTGCTGACAGGGTGAAACGCTGATTGATTCTCATTTTTTTAAACAAATATACACACAAAAAAAAAATCAATTTTATGCAGTAACAAAAAAATAAAAATTAGACGAAAAGGGAATGGTAAAATGTTAGAAAATTCTCCAGGAAGCTTCCATAAATTCATTGTGTGAGGAAATATGCACACTAGAATCTCGCAATTGAGGATAATCATCAAGAACTGATACACTCTCATATGTCTCAATGCTAGGTAATTTCATATTTAAACTCGGATCTTTTGCACCAATGTTTGCCCCTTTCATTTTTTATGAGTTAGCAGGAATGATACAAGATAACAGTCTCTTTTTCTCATTTGTGTTTGTTGAGTTTTGAATCGAATGATTTACTCATTTTCTTTGACAGAAAATTTTGTACGTGACTAATTACTAAAGATTATTGTTACAGATTTACATTTTCCTTTTTTTCAACTTGGTGGAAATGTCACTGCGGAGCAGCAAATAGCGAATAGCCATTCAAAGTAACAACTTTAGTTCTTGTCTAATTACAGCCAGAAATTAAAATATATACATATACCGGGTACAGATAATTTAATATTTGAATATGTACAATAAACAATTGAGATGACCTGTTTTCCATCAAATTTTGAACAATTTTATCATGCGGCAACAAAATCCACATACTTATGCAGTGAATTGCCCACCTGAATAAGAGGGAGGCCTTAAAATTAAGAGGGGTCATTTTTCTTTGGGAATTTGTTGCAAATGAAGGAAAAACTGATAGGGATTTCAAAAAATTTACAGGAGATAATTTCCTGTATTAGAATTTCCTTCTTAGAAATGAAATCTTCTCTTTTGCAGGCATCCGTCTTAAGAATGTGAGCAACACCAATAACTTTCTTAATGCATATTCAATACTAGAGGAGAAATATGCAAAGAATCGCCTGCAAAGCCTGAAAAAAGTGAACTCCTGCATGCTCAATCTTCGCAAAACAGTCCTTAATGGGTAAGAAATTAAAATATGTACGATGGATTTACTTGAATCGGCTGGCAAAAGCGTTTGAGAGCTCATTCATTGCAGTTTGTGTGACGACTTTGCCGATCTCTTGCTGGATCTGCTGCTGCATTCTTTGCGGTAACTGAGGCATCCCTCCACGACTGCAGCATTCACCAAGGAACCAATTACATTACAAATTAAAAGCAGTCACAAAAGAATAATCCGCGGCAAAAATGTGAAAATAAAGGCAAAAGAAAACCCTGGGTCTAACATTGATGATGAGCTCTGCAGCATTCACCAAGGAACCAATTACATTACAAATTAAAAGCAGTCACAGAAGAATAATCCGCGGCAAAAATGTAAAATAAAGGCACAAGGCAACCCTGAGTCTAAATTGATGATGAGCTTGCTTTGGGCAAATTCATCAGCCCATTGCAAAAAAAAAAAAAAAAGAAAAAGAATTATGTGGTGATACTATCGAAATCGGTGATTTTTAATTATTATCACTGTTTATCAAAGATACAAGAAGAGTCCGCATTGAATAAGGAAAGTGCATGACCACCAGATCTTCCCGCGTTTTTTATTCCAGCTAATCAGATACCCGACTAAAACTTCATTTTTTGTGTAAAATAACATTTGAAATAAAAACCATATATCTTCTTCAAATTCGGCCAATTCATCGGCATTAATGTGTTCATGACTGACTTCTCGAGGATTTGACGTCTCTCAGTTGATTCCACTTACGCCAAAAAACACCATTGATCTTGATTTTTGAACTTTCAATTTTTTTCAAGTTGGGGCAATGTTTTTGACCAGACAGTCAAAACATCAACCCGAATGGAAAAAAAATTGAAATCTCAAAAATCAGGATCCTTGGTGTTTTTGGGGTGAGTGCAATTATTATACATCCTCAGAGACTCCAAATCCTTGAGGAGTCAGTCATGAACACATTTTTGCCGATAAATTGGCCGAATTCGAAAAAAATTCATGGTTCCGATTTCCAACGTTGTTCTTCACAAAAAATGAAGAAGTGGTAGTCGGGTGTCTGACTGGCTGGAATAAAAAATGCGGGAGATCTGGTGATCACGCACTTTTTCTATTCAATGCGAACTCTTGTTTTCTCTTAACAGTTCATACATTTGGAGGCCTGTGTTTCCCCTTTAGATCCTTTAAAGCAGTAGTGAGCAAGCTTTGATGCTTTAAGCTGTAAAGCTGAACACTGGCCTTAAAGTTAGCGGACAAAGCAAAAACATCCAATCACCTATTTAAAGCCTTCTCAAAAAATTTTAGCTTCTATATAGTTACCAAAACCAGGAGAAATGGACCAGTTAAGCGCGAGAGGGCATGTAGTTTATTCCTTCAGACTCCAGTGCGAGAAAAACGATGCGGAGGTAAAATCGTGCGAAAAATCGTCTGCGCGGGAAAATAGGGGTCCTTCAAAACATGTTTGGACAACTTTTTTTGTTACCGTCATCTAAATTCTAATTTACGCGTCATAGACTGAAAAATGACAGTGGCTACGCCAATCTCCTAATTACCACAACGCTGCCGTTGTTGGCATTTCGTTCCAGGTTTGGTTAGTTCTGGGGTGTTAAGTAGGTTGATCTCAAATTGCATTGCCGTGTATCCTTCCATTACAGATTCCGCTGCCATATTTATCTTGAGTTTGTGAGCTAAATTGAAAGGAAAGAGCACGCAGTTCTAACCCTGTTTTCGGCTGCCCTAATGTTTTGCATTTTAGATTGAACTCTTCTCCGCGTTGAAGTCAACAAAAAAGTTGAGAGAATAGTTGTACGCTTAGTTTTTTCAATACTTTCGATCTACATAATAAAATAAAATGACTCGTCTAACCCATTGTCTAATAACAACAAAAAGTATGTTCTCTTTCCATATTGACTATTTTTTGTGTTTACCTATGAGCACCTCAGAAATTTTCTCAACATTTTCAAACTAAAGGAATAAGATGTTCTCAAGCTTGAAAGATGGCTCATGAACTGAGCAACAATTTCTACAAGTTTCATTCTTCGTCCATCAAACAGCTGAGTTCAGTGAAATTATTTTAATAGAAAAAACTCTGAGTACAGATAAGCGGGCAGAGGTGACTTAATATCTGCCTTTCATGGAGCTAGGCAAAGATATAAAAAATGAAAAAAGGCAAAGAGAGGGGTATTTAATGCTAATTTTTTCAACTTTCTGAACAGCATATTTAAGTGCAAAAATGAAGAAACTAGCAAGAAACAAAAAACTGAACACATGTGAACTGAACACATTTAAGGATGTACGAAGATATTGCACTTAATATTAGGAAAACTATGTTTCATGTACACACCTGACAATTATATTAATAAAATTGCTACAACACAGTTTCACATGTTTGCCACTGATTATAGATGTCGCAGGCAAATAGTAAAATCAGGCATTTTGTCAAATGCCTCGGCACATAGTCAAATATTCTAGCTAAGATTGAAAGAGGGTTATACAAAATCGGCGATTTTGCCCCCCTCTTGGATTTTGCCTGGAGTTGGAAATGTTGTTCCCTATCACATGACACGTCTTTTTCCGGCGTTGGCAAGTTCACCCGAAATTTTTCCCGCGCGCTACAGCGTTGCCAAGTTGAAAACAGGCAAATTCCGTAAGTGGCATGAAAATTGAGCTATGAAGTTGCGGTTTTAACGAAAATGCTCTAAAAATTGCGCACTTTTAGGAAATGACCGTGTTTTTAATGTCGCACTAATTTTAACATGCATTGTTGCCAGTTTTTCGATTTTTTAATTTGACAAATTTTACAAATCCGCAAATACTCAAAAAAGCTATCTTCAAATTTGAATAAAAAGTTGTCTAATCGATGGTTCGTTCGATTCCGCATTCATCGATATATTATAGCTTGCTGGGAAACTTTTGGTCCGCGAGATATCATCATTTTTGTAAACAGCTTAATGGAGCGACGACGCTTTTTGAGTCTGGGCGGACAGAAATGTTAGCCTCCAAAAACACTGGGTAGCATTAATTCCATGGTTTCCGATGTAATTTTTGGCGCTGAATCCGAATTTGACCATTGCATAACAAAATTGTCACCAAGAAGTTGCCAAATTTGGCAAAAATGGCTTAAAATCGGCCTTTTTGGCGGATTATAGCCAGTGACTTGCCAGGAGTTGATCAGATGACAAAATTCGTTATTTCCACAGTTAAAACTCGTTGAACTTTCTACAAGCTGAGTCAAATTCTTTTTGCTCACGGCAAAATTAAACGCGCGACAAGCAGCAAACTGAAAAAAAGACACCAAAATCGGCGCTTTTAGCGATTTTGTCCTAAGTTTCTTGTTTTCCGACTGAATGAACATTTTTTAGGAAAATCTGAATTACACAGAGTGTAACGACAAACTATTGTATTGTTACATACATAGATAGGAGCTGCATGCTTCAACAGCGGTCTCTCGCGCCCTGCAACGCCTAACCGCCATAGTTCCTTGTCCTCCCACAGGTTCTCAGTAATTTGGAGCGCCTTTGTTCCTTTTTAAGCCCCTTATTGCCCTTTCCTGGGAGTCTTCTTCACTTTGGTACAGTTACGTTTTTCTATTAGACTCCATTTTCTCAGAATTATAAAATAAAATTGTAAACTGAATATAGGGCGATGAATAATAATGGTCAAATACCGCCAAAATTCAACGATGGTACGTAATTTTGGCAATAATGCAATGCGTCTTGTCTTGTTATTATGAAGTCAGTCTGAGGAGTACATTTCATTCATTAATTTTTAGCAGAAAGTTTTCCATTACTGTTTCAAAATGTGATTTATTGACATGATTCGACAAAACTCACTGTTTTATGAATTTTTCCTCTCTGGAATAAATACCCTAGTTATTAGTACATATCTAAGTTGAAAATTAAATTATTCTACAAAAGCGTATTATTTTGCACGAGAGATACATTTAAATAATTTAAAAATAAGAAGTGAACAAAGAATATACGACAAATATCGAAAAAACCAGCGAAAATTCGTTTTTAAATTTTGCTCATGTTGTTCATTACTATAGTCAAGAAACATTCTCTTAATCGGAAAACAAGAAACTTAGGACAAAAACCGCAAAAAGCGCCGATTTTGGTGTCTTTTTTTCAGTTTGCTGCTCGCGTTTAATTTTGCCGTGAGCAAAAAGAATTTGACTCAGCTTGTAGAAAGTTCAACGAGTTTTAACTGTGGAAATAACGAATTTTGTCATCTGATCAACTCCTGGCAAGTCACTGGCTATAATCCGCCAAAAAGGCCGATTTTAAGCCATTTTTGCCAAATTTGGCAACTTCTTGGTGACAATTTTGTTATGCAATGGTCAAATTCGGATTCAGCGCCAAAAATTACATCGGAAACCATGGAATTAATGCTACCCAGTGTTTTTGGAGGCTAACATTTCTATCCGCCCAGACTCAAAAAGCGTCGTCGCTCCATAAAGCTGTTTACAAAAATGATGATATCTCGCGGACCAAAAGTTTCCCAGCGAGCTATAATATATCGATGAATGCGGAATCGAACGAACCATCGATTAGACAACTTTTTATTCAAATTGAAAATAGCTTTTTGGAGTATTTGCGGATTTGTAAAATTTGTCGAATTAAAAAATCGAAAAATTGGCAACAATGCATGTTAAAATTAGTGCGACATTAAAAACACGGTCATTTCCTAAAAGTGCGCAATTTTTAGAGAATTTTCGTTAAAACCGCAACTTCATAGCTCAATTTTCATGCCACTTACGGAATTTGCCTGTTTTCAACTTGGCAGCGCTGTAGCGCGCGGGAAAAATTTCGGGTGAACTTGCCAACGCCGGAAAAAGACGTGTCATGTGATAGGGAACAACATATCCATCTCCGGGCGAAATCCAAGAGGGGGGAAAATTGCCGATTTTGTATAACCCTCTTTTGATTCTTTTCCTAATTTTAGCCAAATAATTAATTGACCCTGTAAGAAAAAATTATCAGTAAAATTTGGCATTACAAAATAGTATTTTAAACGATTTTCAGCTCCTGAGTAGACACTTATTTTGAAATGTTCAGCATGTCAGAGAATACAGCATTTTTAGAATTTCAACATTTAAAGATATGAGAAGCAATTTCAGAGGAAGAGACAAAAAGAGTTTGTAGATTTGATGAGATATTTTTCCACAAATATTGCT